AGTGCTCGAAGCTTTTGAGTTGCTGCTATGTCAACAAGACTACCCATAATGTTTTTTTTCTGATACTTGTACAGAGTTTCGTAACTATTTCGACACCTTTTTCGACCACACGTTTTTTTTTTCGTCTCCTTCTTCGGGACCCCTGACATCTTGATCAGGCCAAGGAGGTGTTCATCACGAGTGGACTTCAACCCGCCAACGAGTGCGCAAGGAAGAGGGCAGGTACGAGGACGTGGGCATTTGCATGGGTTAGGTGTTGAGGCTAGTCGTGTTGTTGGTCCAATAGTCTAAGGACCACCATTCTACCGGGCTGTGTATTTTGTTGCATATTGTGTCGTGAGGACAGTCCGAGCAGTAGCATACGGTAGTGGGTTTACGAAGGCAACAGCAGGAACATCACAACCGATACCGACTTCGTCTCGTCTGGAAGCAGCGGCGGAGCCGGCGGCGGCAGCGGCAGTGGTGGCGACGGCGGTACCAGCAGGATATCAACGAGGCTCCGATCCATCGACGAGATCAAGGGGGGGTTGAATCAAGTAGGAAGCACGAGGACGGGAGTGCCGCGCGGATCTGTGAATAGCTTAGGATGACAGATGGACATTGCCTCCTCTGCCATCGCTACAAAAGGCCGGCGGTAAGTACAAGAGTCGACTAGGGGTCGTAACGAAAGAGGCTGTTGTAGGATTTCAAATTGTTCCGCGATGCCATCTGTCTGAAGTCCATTCAGTAGAATGCTGCTGCTGTGTAGGTTTGAGCAGGAACTTCTTGACAACAACCCACGATGAGACGATGACCCGTTTTTGGTCGACAGCACCTAGGTCCTTGACACTATTCGCACAAGTAGAGCTTCAGCTTTTCCTGACTCTGTTACAGGTGAACCATCGGTAGGGTCCTTGGGGTGTTCGTACAGGTGCCAGGACACATACATCTAGGACGACAGAGTACTTTCCTGTCTGCAGTGTGACGAGCGTGGGCAACCGGATGGGTGGAACGCCGAGGAACGCCGACCGTTTCCACGAGAAAATGTTTCCTATGTGATCGGGTTCAGTTATGCCTACCCACACTGCCGTAGGATATTTGTTTTTGGAACATCCCCAACTCTTCTCTTGATGTGTGTACGGCTCCAGGTTGCGGGAAATCGAAATTGCAAATGCCGCGACATACATCATCAATCCAAGTTGAATCGTCTATCTTGGTAGGATGATGGGTGCGCGTGGACAAGTAAGGTTTTCTGCATCGTCGACCTCCGTTGATGGACGACCGCCTGTTGGCGAGCGATGATTCTTACAGCTATGATAGTACGCCAAAGTTCGGCTGCTTGCAGGGCTGGATATGACGCATGGACACGGGATGCTTCAGATTGATACGACCAGTTGGGCTAGACCTTGCCAACACACGAATATCGCATGGCCAGGCAATAAAAGATCAAGATTCAAACCAACTAGTGCAGAATTTTGTCTTGCTTGATTCGTATCTTCGATATTGTCTCACGTACAACGCCCACCATATGTCCCTCCTGGGTCTTCTCCGCGTTCTTGGTAATTTTTCGATTTTTCGAAGGCTACGACAACTGCATCGGTCCACAACCGGAAGCCCGACCTCAAAATGACGTTTGTCTATCGCTTTTCCGGCCACGTCTTGGAATCCCAGGAATCCTTTTCAAGTGTACGAAATTGCGTTGGGTTGCGCCGGTTGCCTGTCGCGAGGTTGAACGCATCTTTGCACAGAAAAGTTCGGTAGGGTACTGGGTCTGTCACAGAACTCACAGAAAAGTTCAGTAGGGTGCTGGGTCTGTCACAGAACTCACAGAACTATAGGGCACTGGGGCGCGACCTTCACAGAACTCACAGAACTCGTCTGTTACCGAGGGTACCTACCCCCGGTGTGGATCTGTGGGTACCCTACAGAACCTACCCTTGCATCTTTATATTTCTTATGAAGTCCCGTACCGATTGTCTTGCACATACATGAAAGCCTGGCGTGCTTTCTTTGCCGCCACGAACCTACTTCTCTGTCTTGTTACCCGGTTCTTGTTGCAGGCGAATTTCGGGAGAGATGGAGTAGGGACACGGCAATCTGCCAGCGATTTCAGCGTCAATCTGCTTATGCTCGCCGATCGGGTGGGGAGATCCACCAGCACTAGCGGGCAGTGACGTGGAACGAGCACTGTATCTGATGGAGTCTGGCCCGGCAGTGGGAAGCAATCATCGGAAACCTCCACACGACTGCAGGCGTACTTGGAAATATAGACAACGCGGCATCGTTACGAACACGACTTTCCTATTTGTTAACCGCAGTTTGAGTTGCGATGTAGTGTGCGGGAGCCTGGAGGGTGCGTGGGGTTCGTTAGTTTGGTCGGTAGAGTAATAACCCCGGCTGTTCCACTAGGTCGTTCCGGGGCAGGGGAGGGCGCTTGTGACGGACGGGTTTGTGCACTTGAAATGTAAACGGTGATGGAGATATGGTCGATATTGAGCGGCGGAGATAAGAGCTTAGTCCCGAACCAAGGAGAAAGAGGTGAAGGGCGCACGTCGAGCCCCCCGCAGGAGCACAATACGTGCAGCCACCGCAGAGATCAAGGCGGGAAGGGGGGAACGCCATCTTCCCTGTGAGAGAAGGGGCAGCGTTGCTCTTGCAATAAACCGGTCGAAGGTACCGGTGTGACGAATGAAGGACAGGAAACTTACAACTCTGGTGTGGTTGTGTGACAAATGCACACCACGATGATCCCTCATATTGCTTGAGATCCGGGGCGGCAGTAGTCAGTCACGTGTGTAAATCCGTTTTGGTAAGTCGCGTCTACTTGGTTTGTTGGATGAGTAGACTAGAGGTCTTCCTCTAAGAGAAAAACTTTCATCGCTTCTAGTAATTGGATGTTGTGCGCTACACTGCATGCAAATGATGCATTATTTGCGTTCAGCTGCTTGATGGTGCAGCTGCTGCCGACCTATATATTCTACTGCACGCCGTTTGTTTTGGCCTCTATATCAACACAATCGCAGAACTCGAACTCAAAATAACGCGATTCAATCGAGCATCATCTCGAAGAGTAAGGAAGGCAAACGTGACAAGCACACACCGCAAAAAATAAACACCAGGGAATATGCCTCTATTTTTTTTTCCGCGCTCCGTTCGAAATAATATTATTATTTTGAAGTCATCCCTTTCGCACGATCGGTAATCCGACCTCCTCTCGGGGCCTGTCAACAGATACATGCGAAAGAACCAAATATCTTCCGACCGCAGATAGATTCGGAACTCGTTTTCAATTGTCCCGCCGCCGATTTCCCACGCTGCTGTCCCGTCGAAACTCGTTGCCCACAGGGTAGTTGTCCGCTGAGAATGTTGTTTGAGGAATACAGGTATGTAGCCCGGGATCTGGGCGATTCCCTTTATTTTTCCTCGCAGGTCGCAACAATAGCACTCGCACGGGTAGTTTGTAGATTACCTCGGCGCAGTTTCACGACCTGGGATCTTCTTCTCGCACAGCAGCTCGCACAGGTGTAGCGATAGATGGAAAAGAATGTCGCAGAAAATTAGTCGGTAGGTTACCTAAAGGCGGGTTCCGAGCTAAAGCCGGCATCCCCCCTGCAGGCCTAGATATATATAAAAAAATCGCCTTCCGTTGTAGATCGCCGTGAAACGGCCGAAGATGACGTTCAAAAAAACAGTACCAAAAAATGAAGTTCGTCTTCGGGTCGAACTCGGCTCGAACCTTTTTTCCAGTAGCGCTGAGTGGACCTCACGACTTTGTCGAGAAAGTAAACTTATAGGAACATTCTCGGTACATAAAGATGGTTCTGTTTTGGAACCCGGTCAGGGGTAGCAGAGATGACCCCGAGATAACCCCGAGACTTCAAAGGATGTATGGCCATCGTAGGCAGCAACAATCACCGGCTGCTAGCTGCAGCAGCAGTGGATACCGAAGCGAGGCAGCAGGTATATCAATTGTCCGAGAACACTTACATCATCGCTTCCGCGGCCTTGCTCGGCTCCTGCTTCTTCCGGGTCGGCTGCCCTCCGCATAGTTGCGAAGTCTCCTCCCAAGTCTTGCGGGCGGTGCGGCTCAGGTCGTCCCACGGCGAGCGTGTATCATGTGTTTGTGTGCAGCTGCAGCACAGCAGTCGGCGGACCCTCTCTGACCGGCCAGTGACCGGCGGAGAGAGAACCACCCTCCAGAACCAGAATACAATCCAAGAATATTCCTATAAGTTTACTTTCTCGACAAAGGGGTGAGGTCTACTGGCGAAATTTGAAATTACTAGAGTTGTGAATCGGTACGAAAAAACGATATATTTTACATCGGCTGCGCAGCAGCCGATATAACGATATTTTCTCCGATATATCGCCGTAGGCGATATATCGGAGAAAATATCGGGCGAGCGCAGCGAGCCGTGATGGGGGCGAGCGAAGCGAGCCCCCCCATCGGCCCCCCCCGGCTGGTGAGGGGGCCTCGCCGGAGGCGCCGCCGGAGGCAGAAAATTTGGTGCATTTTCCTTTCATTTCCCGTCAAAATGGGCCCAAATGCGGCATCAAAAAGGGCTTGACTTCAGCTGCAAACATCGCACGGAATGTAGAAAAAAAAAAAAAAGATTAAGATTGATGTATTGTCGCGTATCCTCAGCAGTACCCTCCTTCGGTCTCTCCCTGTGTCTACTTCCCGGTTGGTTCTGGACATGGTGCTGTTGTCTGCTGTTTCTGCGCTGCTGTGCTGTGTGTGTGTGGCGTACAGGGGCTCCGTACTGCTGCGCATACCCTAAATTTGATTCACGGAGCCCCTAAGAAAACATCGGTCGGAACATCGGCACGAATTTTCGATACCGATATCGATATATATCGGACGATATATATCGTGTACATCGTTCCGATTCACAACTCTAGAAATTACACAGTTGTTTCGGACTGGGGCTCCAAATATTCCGGGTTAAGGAAGCAGATTTTGAGTTTCCTGGAAACTTCGTGCAGGTCAAATTTCCAGACTTGAGCGGCTTCATGTGATTGGCTGTGGGGCAACAGTCCTCCCACGAACTTCCGCTGTCCGCAGGTGCTGTTGTTTTTTCGTGGTGCGCTGCGTGACAGCTAGCTGTGCACTGTGCACCTTGCTTGATGACAAGGGGCTCTCACTGCTGCTGCTGCTTTTGAGTGTGCGTGCGTGCGTGCGTGCGCGTGTCCGTGTCTGCGTCGCTCCCTCAACCCCAGCACACGAAATCGCACCACACCAGTACGGAGACAGGAAGTGATTTCTGTACACTAGCCGACGACAGCCTCTGAACGAAGTGCTATGTCGCGTTTCAAGCGTTCGGGAGAGAGGCGGGGGGTTTGGGACCGGGAGGCACATCCTAGTCAAACGCTCTTCTTTCTAGTAGACACCAGAGAAAATACTCTTGCGCGCGGAAGGACGCGCCCGCCTTCACCAGGAGGCCCCTACGTGCTCTTCCTCCTCTCTGCTCTTCTTCTTTGCTGGCGGCGTTGCCACCACCTCTAGGTTCGTGCGCTCTCCCTCCCCCTTGCCTCAATCTGACGGGCGTGCTACCGACCTCAAGCCAGCCGAAAACAAACCCTACTTGCAGCCTCCCTGTTTCTGTGTTGGTAGCGCGCCAACTCCAATACCTTTCGCTGGGTGCTGGCCTTCTCTTTGGCCGCGCTGACATGCTCTCAGCAGACTGCTGTGTGTGCGTGCGATGGTGCGTGTGATATGTTACTTCGAAGAAACTTGCTAAATCGAAAAATCGTGAAAAAACTTCCACAAACCAAGCCTCCCTCGGCTCTTAAATCTTTATTATGTATTTTCCTTGTTGTGGGTTCTGGCGAGATTGTCAGGAGCGATCCTCAGAACGACGGCTTAACTCAAAATAGTTTTGTTTTATTTCGGATTTTCTTTAGTCCGAAACTGTCAATTGCACAGCTAAAGTCAGCTTTTAGGCAGCTGTAAGTCGATGGCAAAGCCAAATGTGGCCTTTCTGACGATGTGTTCGTGTTACCCACCCTAAACTTACCTTAAACCGAGATCTACAGAGCTCTATCAACGTGTGGATCGTTTTCCGCGGGGGAGGATTTTTAAGTCTTATACCTAATGATTCCCAGGTTATGCCCTCGTTTTGCACATATCAATGCGCAGCTGTATCAGCGTCACATCGATTCCGATCAAAATTCTGACGATGGATTCGTGATCTGCACCCCAAAATGACCCTAACCTGAATTTTTCGTAAGATTCGGACTGGTTTGGATTTTTCTTGGGGGCCCCGCGGATGCGATTATCCTTCAATTTCCTCCACCTTTCCGTGAGTATCTTACCACCATGATGGCCAAATGAAAAAAAAGTATAGTTACGTGATCCCCACGACCTAACGGAAACGTGTGCAACATTTCAGACAGGGAGAGTCATTCCTGGCCGCGCTCTGAAACACTCGTGAAGAATAGCCGGCCTTTGCTCGGAACCCGCCCAAAATGCGCGTGTACGTATGCTACACACCGAATTCGACCTCACCATCGATGAGGGAAAAGGGAAGGAACTACAGCAGTAGTAGAGTACTGCTGTACAGCAATCAATGCTAGGACCATGACTTGTCCAGATACCTTCTTCCAGCAAGTCTCACCTACCCCGTGATAGAATCAAGAGGCTGCATCGAGGGAAACAAAAAATTGCGCCGGGCCTCGTGAGCATTCCGAAAGGCCGTGCACTCTCTTCTAGATGTAGCTCCAGATGGCCACGTGAAATCGGGTCGGGCAGGGACGATGATATCGAATGAAATTTCCACGGGTGTTGACCCGAGAAGACTTCAAGAACAAGCTTCTAAGAAAACGAACCGACCGACAGCCAGTCCGTGTGTTCTTCGAACCATCACGTACGTACGTACGTACGTACAGCAGTGAACCCCTGGCCGCACACCTGGGAAAAACGTCCGCTCCCTGAAGCCGCCATCTCCCAGATCTGTAGAACTTGCTTCAGTGGTACATACAGCTGTATGTTACAGAACGAGTTATTTTATTATCGGATCGAAGAAGGCGAATGGCTGTCGACCATTGACCACAGACTGAGGGTTCGGGGGAAGCACGCCGAGGAAGGCCGTAAAGTCGCGGCAGGTTGCGTTTGGGAGCCGGAGGACCCAGATCGTCGTTGGAACGGGTTACCACCATCAGTGCCTGCTTTACCCTCAATTTTTCCAAGGAGACATTCAAAACAAAATGCAAGCACCACCCTCGTATGTTGCAGGAGCACATGCAAACAACAATAATACCCTCCCGCAATCTTGTGCGTCTTCCCCCTGATGACGGTTGCAATAAACCTCTTATGTACAATGCGGGGGAACCGCCCATCGCCGTTACATCAGCAAATCGCGTGCGCGTGATCGCCGAGCATCGCGTCATCCCCGGGCATCGCGCGCTACACCCCCCCTCCTCTTCCCTTCAGCGCTCTCTCGAACTACAACCCCCGCCCGACATACTGAAGGCAAATTCGAAAAAAAAAGTCATTTCCCCAAATCCTCCCATCCATATCTCTTGCAACACACACAACTTCTTAAACAACAACAACAAATGACGCAGCAGACATTATCTCTGGAGCACATGAGAGGTAATGCAGACTACACTACAAACGCACCTTACCGACTCAATACCACTCCCAAGCGCATCAAAACACCATGGCGCTGATGCACTCACCAAGAGAAGGCGCACAAAAAAAACACCAGCACAAAAACGTTCTTCCGACAAAACACAAAAAAGAACTTCGCGACAATAGACAGAACAAGAACTCCGTGTTTATACACAAAACCACAACACACTGGCCGCCTCCCTCCTCGCAGCACGGCACACAGGCCGGAACCGAACCAGCACGGGGGGGACAAAAAAAAACGAACAAGCCATATGCTACTACACGCTGCGGCGTGCACTGCCTGCCAAGTCCCTCCGCCCCTCCCGCCCCACGTCGCTGCCGCCGCCATCGTCATCGTCCGCGGGGTCGTCATGTTCCTCGAGGAGGTGGTACGACGCGTCTCCCGCCATCGAAGCGTCGCTCCCCATCACCATCTCGGTCAGGGCGCCGCGCGACCTGCCACCACCACCGCCTCCGCCCCACCCGCCGCCGCCGCCGCCGCCGCCGCCGCCGCTGCGCTCGTAGGCCTCATAGGCCTCGTACTCGTCGAGGCTGCCGCCGCCTCCACCGCCGCCGCCCCCGCCGACTCCGCCGCCCATGTTCCTCATGCTCCGGCCCAGGGTAGCCGCGGAGAGCATGAGCTTCGGCCTGTGCTCGTAGACGAGCAGGAGGGTGGCGGCGATCAATCCGAACACCAGCACCACGATCCAGGCGATGTACGCCGCGTGGTGCCGGTCGTGGCCGCCGCCTCGGGGCTGGGGGCGTGGGGGGCTCCGCGGAATGTTGAGGAAGTCGGACAAGGCCTGTTGCCAAAGAGAAGGGGGGGGTGGGGGACGGGGGCAGCAACATGATGCGGCAGCGTTAGCAAGACCGCACAGGCGGCGTTCGGCAAAGCTCTACCGGTGAAAAAAACAACACAACGATGAGACTTCGCCACGTTCAGCGCAGAACAATGTGGGGAGCATGCGATAACGCTCCACCCTACCGGAAGACGGCACAAGGAACGAAACTAATCGAGCCTTACCTGGTAGTTGATGGTGCCGAGACCGGTCACGGGGTCCCAGCCACCGGTTTCAGAGCCGCCGTAGCCTAGCTCGCAGCAGCTGTACCTGCTGCATTTGTTGCTCCCGACCTGGAGTGGGCGGAGGGGATGATTGCGGGGCGTGTGTGTGGTGGAAGGGTCGGGAGATACTCGAGGAGACCAGACAAGACAGCAGTCGAAGCGTCTCAACAGTGTTGAGAGTCTTCATCTGGCAGAAAGTGAAACACGGACCTATTCGGCAAGCGTCACGTGGCCAAGTTCGAGGCAGGCACGGAGTGAAGCGAGCAGGTTGGTCGAGTGAACAACATGAGCGATCGCTAGCTAATGACGTCCTCAAGAGAGGGCTAGCTTGGTAACCCATTACAAGGTAGAGGGGAGCAAGACAGGAGGGAATCGAACAAAACGTGCGACGGACCTGATAATAAGCGCCGACCGTCTTCTCTAGTGGGGTGCCCGTGAGGTTGTACGTCTTGGGCAGAATCTCCTGAAAGGCGGACGAGCTGTCTTCAGCCGCTTTGTACAACGCCGGGTTTAAGAACCTGAAGAGGGGAAAGCCAACAAAACCAATGTATGACAGCAGTTCAACAGGCCGGATGTTTGCTACTACTTGTATGGGTTGACAATCACAGATAGCTGTACGTGGGAGAGATAAGGACAGACACCGACAAGGAGAACAGACACAGACAGACAGACAGACAGAGACGAACATGTCGGTGGTAACGTTGTGGTAAACAATTAAATACCACGCCAATATCTGCTCAAACGTCTTGTAACAGGCGTTTGGGCCAACTCATGCGGACACCTTCCGTGTTCACAGCAGCCCAACTACCGAACAATGCACATGTAGAAAAAAACAAAACAGACCCAGAATATGCATAGCAGCCAACGAACGCGCCCCAAAAGAAAAAAGAGTTAAGACACAGAAGCCCAGACTACCACACGTCGCAGGAAACGTGACCGACAAACGAGACAGAGACCGAAAGACTCGCAAGACACGCGGGGCCAAGAGAAAAGCAAGAGCGAAAAACGATCCCCGACTAACACAAACAATCGCATGATTCCATCATTGCACGCTCACTAAATAGGCCGGCATACATTCACGGTCGGGTGTTAGCACGAGCAATGCATGTTCTCACACATGCCCGGTGTATACAAACGTGTGGGGGGGTTCAAGTGTATTAACGAGAGTACATGGCGTGATGCCTGCCGGAATTCACTATTATAGCCCCCAGGGCCTACTATAGTTGGTTGGCACGCTAACGGTACAATCGCCTATCCCTCTCATGCTCTTGCACCGGGTACATCACAGAAACTGTCACCGAAAAACATGGTAAGTGCTCATCACGAGTTCTCTCACCCCGCGGAGACGCTTCCAAGCGCAACAACGAGGAGGCAAAAACCTACAGCGCTTGAGGGACAACAGAGACAGCAAGCCATTTTCCAGCAGCAGGCCGATGACAAATTGCTGTATGCTGCGCTCGGGAAATCGTGGAAACACAGGTCGCTTCCACTGACGCAATGGATTCATTTCTAACCTAGACTAGATTATTTCCTTTGGATAGAAGGTGGATGGATTCGTTGTGTCATACTAAGCGAAAATAAAACGAACCGTCCGAGTGGCATGGTTCTCAACTTCCGACCTATGACAACAACCACAATCCACCCCATCCCCGTCTCCTCCACATCTTGCACCGAAGCCCTCATCACGAAAGACATTTCACGACAACAAATCCCTCCACTCGTAACTTCGTGGTATCGACAGGACAACTAGGACAGGGAAAACACTACGTACCCACCTTCGGCAAAATAGGAAGGAACGATTGGCCATCAGTGAATCGGTCCTACGGGAACAAAGCTCCGTCCTCTCGAGGACGCGTGGTCGATGGCTTAACAGCTAAGGCCACTTGTTACGCTGTCATTTTTTGGGCTGTCTTTTTTTCGAAAAGGGACAGCTGGCCAAAGAACCACTTCTTGCGTTGTCTTTTTCCGCATTTCTGGACCGCCGAGAAAAAGACAGGAGAAAAAGGCACCTCCATCCTGTCTCTTTTTGGGCAACTTTGTGACAGGATCGGACTGCCTTTTTTTGTTATCCTTTTTCGGTCACAACACACGAAACTTGTCCACAAACTTGAATATCTCGATGGTTGATCCCCGCAAACTCTAACGGTGTTCGCAGGAGTTGTGTCATGTGACTGGTACGGAGTCGGTAGAATTGGCGATAGCCGTGATTTTGTCATGCGGCTGACCAGGTGGACAAGCCGATGTGTTCGGCAAACAAGCGGCAAACGAGCCGAAAGAGCCTGGGCGCAGCGGCAGCGGTGGGTCATTTTGGCGAAAAGTCAACTTTTGCGAACCCAACTTCTGCTGGGCGTCCTTTAGCCTCCTGGTCTGTCTCAATCACCACACAAGATGAATCAGACGCACAGCTCATGGCGGACACCTTTGTCATCGCTTTTGCTTCGTGTGTGGCGAGGGAGCATCGATGAACCAAAGGTGCAACACGGGAAAAAGAACAAAGAATATGCTGGGGACGCGGCGGGTCATTTTCCCGCTTGTCCACCACCCTCGAGCTCACAACCTCTAAGCGCCCGTCAGCTTCCTGGTCTGTACCAACCACCACACACGACGGACCATACACACAGCTCGTGGCGGATACCTTTGTCATCGCTGTTGCTTGAGTGTGGCGAGGGAGAATCGATGAACCAAAGTTGCGACATGGGCAAAAAGAGCAAAAAGAGCAAAAAAAGTTGGTTGTTGGCGCCGTGGGTTTTTTTCCAGGTGCTGTTGGCTCTCTCGCCACTTCAGTTTTCGTGCCTCCCATCTCCCTGTGGTCTCGATCAGCCGCCACACAAGACGGACCATGCACACAGCTCACGGGGGTGTACTCATAGTCGTGCATGCCGAAGTCGTTAGACCATTGACCTCGCATCCCTACAAAGCCGGGACGGAGCACGCCGGGTTCTCACCGGACCAGGCTCTCACATCACCAAGCGCGAAGCGCC